GTAGATCCCAAATTCCGATTGGTTCGTGGCTCTTATCCCTACGTCTTGAACCAATTGCTGTCACCCGACGACAATCAAAGAACTCCCGCAGCGCTCCAGAAGTTGCTTATTCGTCTGTTGACAATCAATGGAAAAGGTAAGTCATGTGGTGATACAAACCATGTTTTTGTCGCCTTTGCCAGTATTGATAGCTAATGCACCACCGTCATTTTTAGAAAAAGAGATTGACTGGGAGCGACTCCGCGATTTGCTTCAACTAGCCCAAAAGGCACGATCCAAATACAATCCTTCCGACGTGGACAGTGACGACGACCGAGCCCAACTCTCCCGCCAAACCATTGATCTATTCTTTCGATTCCTCACTAGTAAGACTGGTCTATTCCTCAAACGACCATTGGTCCACGAACTGGCCCAAGCGATTGACGGGATGGCCAGTATTGGCGAAGGAAGACTCCTCGCAGCTAGCCGTGGATTGTTGCCCGCTCTTCCAGGTATGAAAGGTCCCATCAACGAACGTGTCATGAACGAAATGCGACAAATGTTAGATACCTTTCAAGACGCTTTGACGGTAGAGAATGGCAGCAGTCGGAACAAGGAATCATCATCTTCCCCCTCCTTTGTAGGCCAAAGCCAAGCTCGATTGGAAGCCATGCGACAAGTCCTTCAAGAAGTATCCGTCCTGATCACGGACGAGCGGTTACGCGACGACGCTGGTCCCTTGTTGGAAGAAGTACGATCCGTCATTCAAATGGTGGCAGTGGAGGTCCTCGAAATTCGAGGATCCCGGGCCGTTCGATCCATCATGGGACTGGAACCAGCTCCTCGATGAGCCAAAAAAAGAAAATGGTCATTTTGATTCACTACAAAAAGCAGCTATTCAGAGAAAAAGAAAGGATCTATGCAACGATTGTCATCAACATCACATCATGTTCTACAGCATTGAACAGAAACCAATCTTGCAACCAACAACAAGAAAAGAAGGAACAACAACGAACAACAACGCAACCAATCTTTTGCCCATCAGAGAGAGAGAGAAAAATTATTTCTTTTTATTCGCTACACTCTGTTTCTTGAGTAACTTAGCAATTGCTTTCATCCTCTTTTGTTCCTTTTGTTCATTGTATTTCTTCTTGTCAGATGTCTTGTCTGGTTTTCGTCTAAACCCCGAGGCGGAAGAACTTCTCGAGTTGCCCACCACCAATTTGGAAGATTTCTTGCGATCAATTGACTCTCGTTTTTGTTTGGCGGTTATTCGTTGCAAGGATTTTTGTTTTCCACCGGACCGAGACGCCATTTTGTCATCTAGTAACAGGATGTTTTGGACTTGTCGATCAAATACTTCTTCTTCGTTCAGAGTTTGTTCGTCGACAGGATTCTCCCTTTTTCTCCGACGGCGTCGATCAGCACCTTCCTTGGCTCGTTGCTCTTGAATCTTTGGAAATTCACTTGTTTCCTTTATCAGTCGTTTTACGATACTGGCATTCATGTTGTAGGATAGTAGCTTTCGTTTGTTTGTTTTGAAGTGTTTTTTTGTTTGGTTGGTTGTTTCCAACAGAAAGATGGAATTGGTTTCGTCGTACGCGCGTTGGTCGTGCGAAAACTCAATGTTTAGTCAAACCAGTCAGTCGTCAATTGTCCTCCTTTCCGAAACATTCGGCAGAGCTCCTTGACTCCTTCCCTCGAACCGAAAAATCAACATCGCCTCCTCAATCTCGGATCCTACGTTCGATTGCCAGAGATAACCCACCGAAAACACCACAAAAGAATAAGAAAATGGCAGCTTTAATCGGAAATGATATTCTAGACATTGGCTCTCGCAAGGCCAGAAGACAACGGGAGGATCCCATGGCTCCAGGTTTTGCCTTCGGAGCCCCTGGGCAATTTGATATCCCCAATGTTGCAGATGTAGGTTACAAATTTTGGTGTTTTGATTTGGTCTTGATCGATGGATGTATTCATGCATTCATGCATTGATGCAGTGATGCATTGAGACCATGATTGAGTCGTCTCATCTCTACTGTCCTCTTTCGCTAATCCTCCTCCTCTTCTTCTTTCTTTCATCATTCTATTGTAGCCCGCTGCTTATTGCCGCAGCAACTTTGCATCCGTTTGTGGAACAGGTGACGAAGATCAATCGGTCAAGTTCATGAAGGGAACCACCACTCTGGCCTTCAAGTTCAATGGAGGTGTCATTGTTTCTGTCGATTCTCGTTCCACCATGGGAGCCTACATTTCTTCTGGTACCGTCAAGAAGGTGATTGAAATCAACCCCTTTCTTCTAGGAACCATGGCTGGTGGTGCCGCCGATTGTTCCTTTTGGGAGCGCAATTTGGGAATGGAATGCCGACTTTATGAGCTTCGAAATGGACGCCGAATTTCCGTCGCTGGAGCTTCCAAGTTGCTGGCCAATGTCATGTCATCCTATCGGGGATATGGTCTTTCCATGGGTACCATGATTGCCGGATGGGACGAAAAGGGACCCCAACTGTATTACGTCGATGACGATGGTACTCGTCTAAAGGGAAAGATTTTCTCTGTTGGTTCTGGATCAACCTATGCGTATGGTGTTTTGGATAACTACTACCGAGAAGATTTGACGATTGAGGAAGCCGTTGATTTGGGCAAGAGAGCCATTTACCATGCTGCCCATCGTGATGCAGCCTCTGGAGGTATCAACAACTTGTACCACATGACAAAGGATGGATTTGTCAAGGTTCACTCGATTGATGTCAACGATATGCACTACCAATTCGCTGAAGAACGGGCCCGGGCAATGCAATCTTAAAAATATTCCTCTACACAGTACCTCTAATACAAATTCGAAAATGAGTTTATGTATTATATTCAAATTCTGTATTATATTCGTTACTAATAGGTATACAAGAAGCAATTTAATCCTCTCCATCTCCCTCTTCTAGATCAAAGAAATCATCATCTTCGTCATCCCATTCATGATCCTCGAGCTCTTCATCAAAGTCCATATCATCAATGAACCCTCTCGGCAGAGAATTGTCATCCCCTCCAAATTCTCCAACCTTTTCTCTTCCATATCCTGATGATACCTTTTCAATCAAGTACATGACATCTACAGTAGACAAGAAGCAGAAGAAGAATGATTGTGAGCGGCATCACAAAACAATCAAAGAACACATAATCCACAGAGGTACAGTAACCTCCAAAACTATCCACAACAACAACAACAACAACAGCAACAACATCAGCAACAAAAGAAATCTTACCAACAGCTGCCGCTACATCCACTTGCACAAAGGTCAAGGAAGGTGACGACTTCATGTGCGACATTTTCTGTGCCAAGGTATGACGCAAGGCGTAGGTATTTTGGACCAACCAGGAATAGGCTCGTCGCTTGTCCATGGCATTATTGCTGCTGCTGTCGCTCGACGCGTTTCGAATCGAGGTGGTCACCCGGGCTTGTCGCAAATCGGGAGAGACGTCCACATTGACAATGGAAATGCGTTTTCGCAAGTCGTCGTCCAAATACTCGCAATCGCCCTTGATGATTCCAGTGTGAATGATCTTGCCCAATTCGGATTGGACCAATTGATTGACGCGGTATTGGCGTTTGGATTTTTCTTTTCCACGATTATTGTTGCTGCGAGCGCCCTTTTGAAAATACACCGAGAGTGCCGTGCTGCTAGAATGTCGTCGTTGTGGTTGTGATAGTGCTGTTCGCATGGAGGATGGTGATTGAGGTGGTGGTTGCAGTGTCGTAAAGGCTGCTCCTAGTTGTACGAACAGAGCGCAGATTGTGGCAATCATCAAAAGGCAGTTCATATTTGCCGTGTTATAGTACTGTTCTCAAAATTGAAAATACACGCTTGTGGTTGGTTCTCGTGGTAGAGATGAGATGAGATGAGATGTGATGTGTTCTGTGAAACATCGACTATCTATTGGAACTGGAGAACGGAAAAAGATGATGGTTGTCAACTGTTTCATGAGCGACTGACGGTCGGACGAAGATCGAAGGAAGGCTAATCCGCTCAGCCAATCATGTTGTAGTATTCGATTTGAATTCTCGAGAGGTCGGAGAGGTGAATTTGCATCGCACTTCTACCGGTAGTATCAAAGTTGAAAGTGATCCTTTCGCGTGTCCATTGCCCACCCCACAACAACTCATTGGCAGAAACCTAATAGCTTGCATAAACCATGATGCAATCAAGTCGACTTTCAACCAGGAGACTTGCAACCTTTGCTCGTTCCTGGAATATTGTGACACAAACAACGAATAAGCATGCTACTTCGCATCATCCATTGTCACCACATACGAGTAATGGTGGGAGAATAATCAACTCGTCGTCACGGCAACAACATCGACTATTATGGACAAGAACAAAATGGGCAACAAAATCATCACAATCATCACAATCATCAAGATTACAATCCAAATCGTTCGCACAGATACGACGACGGACGAAAACCACAATGGCCGAGAATGAGAATGCCTCCGATTCTTCCACAATTGCTCGATGGATCCAAAGCCTCAGACTCTCTCTCGGAAAGACAAGAATAATACCCATCCCACGATGGATCTCTCCTCAATACAGCACTTATACACTCTCGGAAGCCTTTGGTCACTCTTCTTTTATACTGGTGGCATTGTCCTATGCTGTGGAAGACTTTATGCACCTTCGTTTGATTGCCATTGCTGGTTCCTCGGCCATGTTGGTATTCACCTACTTTCATCCTCACGGACGGATATTGTGGCTTCCCTTCAAGTGGAATGCCCTCTTTATTCTCATCAATTCCTATCGAGTCCTGAAGGTATACACGGATCGATTCTTTGCGGGTCAAATGGACGACTTGATGATGTACATGCACGACCATCATTTTTACGTCATGGATCTGATTGATTTTGCAGAACTGATCAATGCTGGACAACGACAAACTTTTAAAAGTGGGGATGTCTTGGTCAAACAGGGAGAAAACAATCGCTTTGTCCGATTGGTTTTACAGGGAGATTTGGACGTCCAACGGGATGGGATCACCACCTACTTGATGCACCAGGGGAACTTTATTTCCGAATCTGGCTTGCACGCAGGGTTGCTGCTGCGTGGAAATGTCAATTCGTGCTGTTCGGTCATTGCCATGAGCGATGACGTCCAAGTCATTAGCTGGGACCGAACGGAACTCATGTACTTGATGGAGTCCAACAAGAACATTCTTCGGGCCCTGAAAGCAGTCATGTCCTGGGACATTGTGTCCAAGCTAAAGTCACAACGGTCCCTCCTTGCAAATGGTCAGGTCAAAGATCCCGAAGAATGGACCAACAAGCGGAGGGAACAAACGGTCCATCGCTACAAGGGAATCTTGAAGAACGTCTTGGCGCATCCAGCCTATCTCAACAAACGCAAGGAGGAGTTGATGAAATATCGAGACATTCATCACATTGAAGAAGCGGAACACGTACATGCCTTAAAAGAAACGGGATGGACGTTGGCCGAATTTGATGCTGGCAAAAAGGAAGGGCAGTTTGACGAGGATTTGTCAGAACCTCATCCTCATGACTGGAAGGCCTACTTTTATCAATTGTATGAACGGTTGCTTCAATAGGAGTAGAGTTATGATGTATTGTTGAAAATACTTGTAATATGTATGTATATATATATCAATAGACCATAGATTTGAATTTGTTTTTACAGACTAGGGCTACAGTATGTGGTGATTTGACACGTGTCATGTTTTTCATATTTCTTGGATGCTCTGCCATTCTTCACAAAAGTGTTATAGTCAAAAGTCTGATTGACTAGCTCTAGTTTTGCTCGCCACTTGCAGTACAAGCAATATGTTTTTCAGTTTCTCAAGATCTAGTAAGAATAAGTAGGTAGGTATTATAATACAACAACAAACACAAAGACAATTGAAACCAGAGCTTGATTTCGTCAACTCTTGGGATTTGTCCTTTTGCCTGATTTTTGTGTGGTGGTATGTGCGAAAATGACTGTGTGAATAAAATGTATAATGATGTAGATGTAGGTGCAGGTGGGGTATCCAGGTTGCGCGGCAAGGTACTACTACAATGATGATGATGATGATGATGATGATAGTGATCAATCACATGTATGCGTTTCTGTTCCTTCCCCGGATGGTGTATGTATATAATACATATCTATTCACCCTGTCCAACAAAAATTACGCATTCAGAATTGTTATCTTGACGTTGTCATGAGCTCCCTTGAGCAACATTTGTCCCTTGAAATCAATCAATCCACGCTTCTTGGCAGATTTCAGAGTCCCTACCAATGCTTCGTAGTAGTTTTGGACGTTATCGTCATCAAACAAATCTCCAAACAAGACAAAGGGCTCGCCGGGTTCACCAATTCGCTTAATGTCCGACAAGAGCTGTTGGCACTCTTCTTCCAATCGAGTCTGTGGAATATTGTTGTAGGAAAGGCAAAGCAAAGCAAAGCAAAGCAAGGGAGAAAGGAGAATGGTGAGACAAACAATAAATACAACAACTGGCGGAAGAGGAGAGCATTTTGGAACTTTTGTTGTGGCGTGCTCCTTTCCAAAAAGAGAAATTTTCACGTACCGCCTGCTCGGAGATGATGGAATCCGATTTCAGGACTTCGCTCTTGATGTCAACTGGTGATGAAACTGGAGTAGACATGATAGTAATAGTGGTGATAGAGATGTAAAAGTAGGCTGTTGGGAAAAAGTGACTATTACCTGGTGGTACTGGTACTGGCACTGTGTCAAGAAGAATAATGACAGATGGTGGTCGTTGATTTTGATTTCGGTTTCGTGGATTTGAAGTCGGACATTCTCTGGTCATTCAACGTCCATGCGTCGCTCCCAAAGGTCGAACAAGTCGAAAAAAGTTGGAAAGACGAAGAAAGCGAACATCCATCATTCCATCCAGCAAAAATTCTGAGGAGGCGTCTCAAGCGTATGTATTGACTCCTCCATCATTGTCAACTTGCACGCTGTAGCTACCATCAACGATTGGTTGAAAGAATACAGCACAGCCTACAATTGAAATATGCATTCACCGCAGGCCGTAATACCTTCCTTCCAGCTGTGCTTCACGTTGATAATAACATGTGGTTGTTTGATGGAATACGGTGGTGCTTTCTCATCAGTCGAGAGAATGGGGCTATCAAGGTGGAACCCAATGCAACAAAGACACACACCAATGTGCCCATCCATAATATCATCCATTTCGCACCATTCTCCCGTCTCTCCCCTGAGAATGTCCACCAAAGAAGACACCACCAAGGCCAAAAATGCTATTAATGCAACCGTAGTAGAAGAAACCGTGTACAATGACAAATTAGACCAAGTAGAACCAGAAGAAGAACTGAACCGCAAATTCATCCAACGCAACAAACGATGGGTCGTACTAGTAGACGATGAAGAACCCATTCGATTGGCAGTCGGAGACTTTTTATATTCCCATGGATACCAAGTTACGGCGTGCGCAGATGCGGACAGCATGTTGGAAGTTTGTGCCAAGCCGACAGTGGATGGTGCCTTGATCACACCGGACGCCATTGTCAGCGATATTCGAATGCCGGGAAAAGATGGATTGGAACTCCTTGGTCTGATACGAGAGGACCAACGGTTGACAAGAATCCCAGTGATTTTGTTGACGGCCAAGGCCATGACCAAGGATCGAATTGATGGCTACAAGGCGGGAGCCGATGTCTACCTTCCAAAGCCCTTTGATCCGGAAGAGCTATTGAGTATCTTGGACAATATCATTACACGAAGAAAACAAATGAGTGGCAAGAATGGGGATCTGATGGACCTCAAAACGGACATGGAAAATATCAAATTCATTATGCAACAAAACAGTCAGACTGTCGTCAAGAAGACGGACGTCTTTTTGACAGATACAGAAAGGGATGTTCTGGAATTGGTGTGTAAGGGGTATACCAATACCGAAGTTGCAACGAAACGGGAAGTTGCAGTCGATTCCGTCAATCGAATGTTAACTAAACTGTATTCGGAAACGGGGACCAGGACGCGGACCGAATTGGTGCGATGGGCCATGAAACATGGGTACGTATCCACAAAATATAAAGCTTAGAAACATATTTATTATTATAATTATAATTATAGTGATGCATTGCCTTTTTCTAGTTGGAAAACACAGACCAGCTTGTGGTATCTATTGCTGCTGCTGCTATGATTGTGTCTCTTCCACTTCATCATTGTCTTCGCCCAATCTCTTCTTCTTCTTCTTCTTGGCCGCCTTCTTTTCCTCCTTGAGTACCTTTCGCTTTTGTCGTCGCACAGCTGCCTTGCGCTCGTAATCAGGCTTTTGCTTGGCGGCTTCCAGAATCTTATCCCGTAAGTTGGCACACTTCTCGGCACTTTCCGTCCCATTGACCCAAATATTCGACATGTAGTGATCTCGCTTGGAGAAATCATAATCCTTTATCTTCTTCATGACCACAATTCGACGGCCCAATTCGGCCTGGAGCGGTTGATAGCAAGAATGGACTAACTTCAAACACTCGTGTCGCGGCAAGTCAGTGTGCGGATCGAATTCATGAAAGGAAGGTATCACATACACCAATCGTCCACTCATTACCAAGGTTCGCGCCGCTACATCTAACAAATCCGACATGACATCTGATACGGGATAAGGTTTGGTTTGTGCAATGTGATCGTGTCGGTGTTCCTCTAGAATGGGTCGAGGTGTATCTTTGCGAGACCCCGTCTTGCGGGCTCCTGCCCGGATTCCATACGGTGGATCGCACACTATCGCATCGTAGAGTGGCTGGTGTCGTCGAAAGTGTCGGTGATAGATAGCATTGTCGGTCCTCAAAAGTTCCGGCCGCCTCAAATGGTACTGATCAAAATTCTTCCAAATGGTTTCTTCCTTGTTGCGCCCTTTCAAGACCCGAATGTCAATGTCGGATCCCATGCAATAGGCCCCTCGTAAGGCGCAGGATAACAATATAGAACCCGTCCCCACAAATGGATCAAAGACGACTGATCCCTTCTGGACTTGACCATAGTTGGTCATGACAAAGGAAAGTTCGGCATCCATGCTGGTGGGACCCAGGTAGACTCGGTTTTTGAGGTTATATTGTTCCAATCCACCTCGGCCCTTTTTGGATTTGCCGCCCAGCAGGCGGCCAAAATAGAGTCCCAATGGCGGTAGTTTATCATGCTCTGGAATAACATTCTTATCAATGCCGTGACGAGGATGCAAGGGAGATCCCTTGCCATCCATTTCCACTTCTCGTATCAGAACGTATTCATGGTTGGGTTCCTTCATTTGGACGGGTCCTTGAAAGCCCAAATAGGAAAACTTGTCTCTCATTTCTGCTTGTTCTTCTCGTGTATACTTTGTTCCCAGTGTGTGGACCGTCAGCTTCCAACTCTCTTGTTCCCCCGCAACGTTGGCAAATATGGACTGTCCAACCTTTGTATTCTTGATCCATTCTCCACATTCCTTGGCACACGTGTCCAAGGATGACGTTGACGCACCCCACAATTCGACAATGGTCTTGACGAGTGTACATCGTGACAAGATTTCGGCAATGCTAGCATTTTCGTTGGTGGCCCGTGTTACCAGACCCCATCGGTCCACGCTGTTGCTATTGTCGGAAAGTTTCGAAGCATCCTTGGCGGGAAAGGAAAGAATGAGGTAGGGTCGTCGAAGCTCGGGGTTGGATGAGGCAGGGGTTGTCCTTCCTGTTTCGTCTTGTCCTGGTAGTGGGTACACTCTGCAGTCAGGACTTCCTAATTGGATACCGTGCATATCCAAGACGGATTCAATCTCGGCTATTTGAAAGTCAAGATGTCGGTAGGCAAATTCAATCAGTACCAAGTAGCGTTCCTCTTTTCCATCAGATGATGATGAACTCGATGCTGGCGTTTCCGTTGGTATGTCCATGATTTCTTCTTTGTCTTGTCGTCGCGTTCTAATTCACTCTTGCAGCTCGCTTGTAGTCTGCGTGTTTGAAAGCAGACAAAAGTTGAATGATGTTGTGGTTTGGAAACGAAAAGTTTGTGGTTGAGTTTTGATGGGTCGTGGCGGGACTCATTTCGACGATGCGACAGACAGACAAAACTGAAATGTTTTGGAACAACTCAAAACATAAAAACAAACCAAAGACAAGTTGGAAAAGTATTGCAGTTGTTGGTCGGAAAGAGTCGTCTACTGTTGGTTGCAGTTTTGGCTCATCCGTCATTCCATGAGCTCCCGTAAAAGAGCGAAACCTGGAACTTCTGGAAATGAAGAGGAGGGCAACAGTGGCGGATTCTTAGATGCTTTTCGGCGTTACATACCAAATTTTTCATCAGTGGAACAAGGCGAGGAAACTCGAAATGGAACAAATATTCGATCATCATCGGTACCTTCCACTCAAGAATCTCCTCAGAGCTTTCAGACCCAGGAGGGTATGGATATTGACCACTCTGGACCTTCCAAACGAGAGCTGGATTTTGCATCAGCCAATGATCCTCATTCTGATGGCGACGATGTCAGTGATCACGAGTTGAATGACGAGCATGACGAGTCTAGTTATTCATCCGCCATGTCATCCTCAGAAGACGAGGAAGAGGATGTAGTAGATGGTATGACACTGATGGAAAAGCGACGAAGAAATAAGGAACGAAATGCTCTGCGACATCAAGAACTATTCAGGGATTATCAGACTGCCATGGGAAACAGCGAGGAAAATGGCAAAGCCAAAAAGAAGGATACGCAGTATGAATATGACGATGATGAAAATGATGAGAAACCAAGAGCTAGAGGGATGTTGATGAAGAGGAATTCTGGGCTATTGACTCCTCAGTCAAAGTCGTTCTCTGGGCTGGTAAAAGAATTGGAAGAGCAATACCCACATCGAGAGCCACAAATTCGACGATTGTTGAGTCTTTTTCAATCTACTATTGGTCAGGTATCAAAACCACAACAATCCTCTGGCTTTGTGCCCGCCCCTTTGTTTGTCATTGGGAGCACTGGAACTGGGAAAACCTCTGTAGTTTGGGATACCTTGGCCTTGGCACGGGCGGACTCGTCACCACCTACCTTCAGTACAGATAGAGTTCCTCAGTCTGAGGTTGCATTGATCAATTGTGCGACTCTGGAACCAGCTACCATTGGAAGGCTGATAGTCTCCATATCCCAGCAACTCCGACCGAGTTTGAAGCGTCGCCATTCCAACCCTTCATCGAAGAACAAGCAACGGAAGCGAAAACGAAAGCAAAACGGGGGGAATGATGTTGCAACTGTGGCAACTGTGGCAACTGCATCCAGCACTATGGATGAAAATGAGGAAGGGTCCTCAGAAGCTAGAAAACAACAACGGCCACTGCATGTCACTACAACTAATAACGACGACGACATCGACCAAGAGAATACCAGACGTGTCCAACCGACTCGGGCAGCGAAAGTGATGGATACTAACGATTCATTGAAGCACACAAAGACCAACCAAATACACTCAAACGATCCAGAAAATGATGATGACGATGCGGCAAAACCCACCGATAGAATCGAGAGTCCGCACTCAGCAGTTATGGCACTTGGGAGAAGTCTGCTGCCATATTATGGGACTCGATCCAAACGTTGCGGCTTTGTGATCCTAGACCAAAACCCAGAACGTCTACTCACCATGTCATCATCGGATGGAAGAAACGATAAATCGAACGTACTGGCCGAGCTCTTGTTGCTCCCACGCGTCATGCAGCTGAACATTTGTTTCGTTGTCGTTACCACCAATCGATTGCTACCGGGTTCTCGTAAGTATCACAGTGTTTGATGACTCAAAATTGTTGGGAACCTACATCGAAAGCTCACAAGTTCTTGGAATCATTAAAAGGATTAAACAACATTGCTGGCCCTACCAAGGCTTCTGCAACACTGATGACAGCACTACGTCCGATGTGTGTTCAATTTCCAGCCTACAAGGGGAACGATTGTTTCAAAAAGGTAAGACTTTGTTGCATTTGCTACAGTGTTGTATTGGAATCTCATTAGTTTCCTAAACATCACACCGCAAAGATACTGAAGGCAAAGCGCGCACAAGACACAGTAACTGGTTCCTATACCAAAGGCTTCTCTTGCCAGAAGGAATTCTTTGACAAATTGGTAGATACGTTTCTTTCCTCTCTGATTCAATTTTTGTCGGATTCGACGAGAGACATCAACGACTACTTGCGGGTTGGTCGTTCTTTATGGCCAGTATTCATCCGCCCAATTCATCCCAAGAATATTCATCAGACAATGAAGGTAGTAGCGCCACAGACTTCGGCAGCTTCCAATGATGTGGACCCGATCATTGAAACTAGAATACTAAATCATCTTGGGCAGAAGTTGCTACGTTTCACATCGGCGTTTTCGTCAGAGGACCCAACTGGTCTTCTGCTAGATTTGTCAAGTCACAAAAAGCTATGTCATCAGAATGAACTCAAACTGACGCACTTGCAACTTTGCTTGCTACTCGCCTCATTCATCTGTCAAAGCAATCGAATAGATCAAGATAAAAAGTTCTTTGCTTCGGCTGGAAACGGAAAGAAGAGGAAAAACAACAAGTCGCAGCAAGGAGAAGGAGAGACTATCGCATTCAGCGCCTCTGCAAATGAAGTCAAACAGTTGTTTTCACTTAGGCCTAGGCCGTTTCAATTGGAGAGAGTCCTCTCTATTTTTGTCACCCTTGTCCGGCTGAACCCAAAGGACGCTGGGGTCTTTGCGGATATGGACGAAAAGAGAATTCAAACACTAGGGTCTACCCGCCTGGATATGGATTTGAAGCAGCTGGTTGATCTTGGATTCTTGCACCCCGCAAGTGCTGCTGGACGACATGCCAATGAGAATATCGACCGCGCTCGATTTTGGTGCTCACTGACTCGCTCTGAGGCAGATCGCATCGCCAAGCGGGCTTCAATTCCGTTGGACAATTACATGCTATAGATCGAGCCAAAAATAATAGCTATGGATTATCGACGTGCTACTGCAATTGAGTGGAAAACATCCATGACTCTTGGTGCAATCGCAGCCAGAGTTTCCCCGATTAGATTCAAGAAGAAGCGCTCCGCTTGTTCGTCTGTCAAATCTAGCCGGAATCTCTCCTCGACCTTTGCAATGACACCTTCTGGATCAGCAGAGGGATTGTTTGACAAGTCCTCAATTCCTGCATCGCTCATCAACGACAAAAGATTGAGAACCAATCCAGCGTTTTTCCTCAACGCGTTAAACGCCTGACAAGCCAGAGAACAGAACTGTCTATATTCTGTCGACTCAAGTCCTCCCATCCCTTCCACCATTTCTCTTGTGAGTCTGAACGCTGGTGGCAACGGTTTGGGGTCTCGGCCAAACATGAATCCGAAATCAATATGGAAGAAGTGTCCTGTCTTGCATATCAGAATGTTATCAAGATGGCGATCACCAACTCCCAGAATGTAAGTCAAGACACAGTACCCTGCGCAACTTCGAATATACGAAGACAGCACGTCCGGACGAATGTCGTACTTTGCTCCTTTCTGAGGTGCTACAGCTTGAAAGTACTGCATAACTGAGTTGTTATGGTTTGCAAGAACCGCAGAGACGGGCATTGAACCACCAACGAATTCCACCAATCCTGATGTTGGAGAAGTTGCAATAATGGAGTATGGGGTTAGACAAAGGTCGAGAGATGCGCGTTTCAAGAGTCCATCCATCAGTTTGATCATCATCATTGCGAGCTGATCTTGACGAAGATCGTCTCCAGTCTTTACAATGACCTTGTATATTGATTGATGTGCGAGTGGGTTCTGTCCGGCATATTTGCTTCTTGAAGTGTCCTTTTGTGATGACTCCATTCCAAAGTCTCCCTTGGCAGCGATCGACTCGATGTGAAACTCGATCAGGGCTGGGTACACGGCAGATTTGAATATCTTTGCTGTTTGCGAATTCAATCCATGTACTTGAACCTCTGGAGCACAGGGTAGTGGGAAGGAATCCCGAGTGTGGTTCTTGTCGTAACCCTCTTTGGATAGAACTGACCGAATATGAGCTTCTTTTGCATCTTTCTTTCCCTTACTACCACAAGATAATTGCGCATCCATGACACCAGAAATAAAGACATCTTGGGCTTTAAGTACATCCCAAACGCTTTTTGCGCCCTTCTTATTCAGTGACCCGTCTATGGCCTGTGATTCCAAGTCAGTCAATTTCAATGACGACCCAATCTTTTTGGATACTTTGTCAACCTTTTTGGAAACGGAATCAACAATGTTCTTAAACGGAACAGCTACCATTTCCTCAGCTGCTTTTTCAACTTTCTTCATTGGAGTACTGGCATCCAGCAATGATTTCTGTTCACGTTTCTTTGATCTTGTGAATGGTGTTTGCGCGAGGACCAATTCCAACTGTGAAAAAACCTCGGTGTATCTGGCGCCATGTGTTGGATCTTGCAGTTCGACCTTGAGATACCTGGGAATAAAAGTAGAACAAATATTAGAAGACTGCCTCGGTGCCCATATTCAAGCATAACTTTTCTTCGTTTCTTACCAATAGAGATAGGTAGCTAGCTGTATGTTCTTCGCCGCTCGGAGAATGAGGAAATTTGCCAATGACGCTTCCGACTCTTGCGTCATAGTGTTCGATCCCGTCTCTTGTATATTTTCAAATTTCAAAGCTTGGACCAACTGCAACAGATAGAGACTAAGTTCTTCATCGGGTGCTGCAGCGAGTGTGTCAATGGCATATGCCCGCACAAGGTTGGTTTGATAGGCGACTTGTTTGCCGAGCAATTTCAATGCATCAGTAACCATAATCGGACTTCTCTTTCTCCATTGCTCCAGCAATTCAGCGGCTTGAACAACTTCGCTTTCAACCGTCCATTCCACAGCCAACAAGAATTTGGCCAAAGCGCGACGATTGTCCACGAGACTGAATCGGAATCTCCATAGCAAATCCTTTTCTTCTCGCGTTGGCTGATGTGATGGAGAGGCTATAATTGCAGCCAATTGATCTCGTTGAACCCGATCTGGCTTGAGTGCAGGATCCACCAACCCCCGCAACAAGTCGTGTGCTAGTGCACGGTACTTGTCTTCCACCGGGTTGTCATTTTCATTTTCATAATCTAGAAACGGAACCGCTCGAAGTGGATGGAATTGTGATGGCTTTCCAGCAGGAACTTTTCGTTGTTGGTAAAGAGCCAAGTCAAGAGGTGTGACAGTTCCCGATGGGCCGTGCTGCGCGACAGGGTAAAATCTGAAAATAACAAAAGAGACCATTAGAAAACACAACTGACAAGAAGACCTCATGTGTAAACACAGATTGAACGAACACCTACGTCTCTTCGTGCATCACTGGAACGTCATATGTTGGTAGCTCTACAATCAAATGTGCAGATACCGTATCTGTGTCATACACTGGTCGATACTGCTAAAGTGCGCAGAAACATTGGACATTGGTGAGAAACACTGAACCTTTTGAAATCTTGAACAGAATTGCCGGAGTCGTCATTCGCAATTTACCTCATTTTCGGCCCTTGCTTCACTCAGCGTTTGTTCACAATAATCTTTGGTCATTTTGTCCAGCCATGGGACGCTTTGAATCTCCCCAAAGGTCTTAAATCCTCCTCGATTCGTCGTCGCATCAGCTTTACTCTTTTCCATTCGTTCTAGTTGATCCAAAATCTTGGATGCCTTCCAGACTGGGTCATCTATTTGCCATTCTGTATTGTCTCCTTTTTGTGGGGGCGGCAGCAATCCTTCATTGAATCTATCCATTCCGTGGGATGGTGGTGTGAGATCTAGCTTAGTAAGACCCGACTGCATCTTGCCGTATGCGTCAAACATGGGCATAATGGATTGATAGAGCTGCAAATATTTATGAAATAGACACACGACGATTGATTAGATTGAAGATTGACGAAATCAGAGGATCGTGTCCCATCACTTTCGGCTTCCCTAAAGCACACATGACACATGTACTTACCACTTTGTCGCAATACCCCAAAACTTCAAACAACAAATAGGCATCCCGCGGAAGATCCCGCCATCGAATGGGAATATGAATGACGGAATCAAATTTGCAAATATGAGAAGCAGAGGACACTAATGGTAGCCACTCGGCATCCTTGTCAAACATTCCATTTTCATGGGATTGCCAAAAGTCTTTGATCAACAAACGTGGAGCAGTAGACGTTGTGGTTGCCACGGGAACTAAAGACAACCCAGCCGCCCCGTGAACCGTCACGCGGACTTGCCATTCTTCAATTTCGCAGTGCTGTTCCATTAATGTCAACACAGATCGGACCGACAAGCAAAGGTGGGAAGTCTGGGACAAGCAAGAATGTGGCATCCATGCCACGTTCACCCAATTGCTCTTTTCGTCTGACATGCCCGCTGGTCCAGATGTCGTGGGTGGCATTCCCATGACATTTGTTCGAATTGGCATTTTGAGGTTCTGTTCCAGGAGGCTCGCTCGTGGATATGGGGTCGAATGCTCCTACTTTTGGGAAGACACGTCTCTCTTTGTGTCTTATTGTTGATGCAACGATTGATTTCAAAATAAGTTCTGTGAATCTCAGGATTCGACTCCGTCGACTGGACTGTTAGCTTCATTTGGCACGAAGTTTCCTTTATTGCTACAGTACTGTGCCATAAATTTGCAAATCCAGCAGTTGACCATACATTTCAAACATTGAAGCAACCTCAAACATGATTTTAGATGCCGTTGGAATCGTTTGCGGAGACTTGAAGCAGTCTACAAAGTTCTACGGTCTGCTTGGACTTGAGTTCCAAAGTGCTGGTGGTCCCGAACACTTGGAGGCTACCACTCCCACTGGCCTTCGTCTTATGCTTGATTCCGAAGATCTCATGAAGAAAATCAACCCTGATTTTGTCAAACCAACTGGCTCTGGAATGACCTTGTGTTTCAAGCAAGAATCTGCTGCCGAGGTCAATAAAGTCTATGACAGTGTCATCAAGTCTGGATATGTTGGTACCAAGGCTCCATACGATGCCTTTTGGGGTCAACGTTATGCTTCCATCAAGGATCCGGATGGAAACCCAATTGATCTCTTTGCGGACCTGAATTAAGGAATGACGATACGCAAGAGGTTGACCCTTTGATTGCTCACTTGTTTCACTTGCTGCTTAAAAAATCTTAAATCTAGAACTGTCATATGGCATGCATTAAAAAAGTATGATAAAGGTGAGAGTGAAAGGAACAAAGTAGATTTCTCTGTGGGCAAGCCTAGTTTCATGGATCTCCTCTATCTTCTTTCACTTTAGTAACAATAGTGCTAGGGCAACAATCACTTTCGTTGTTTTGAAGCATTTCTAAATAACAGATCAATTTAATTAAAGCCACTATCAGATGTTTTCAATAAAAATCCTGCTGAAAAACTAGCAAAGAAAGGCTGTTGCCGACAACAGCAGAAGCAAATAATTAAAAAAGGAAAGCTCTTTATTCTTCATTTTTTTAAAACAGAAGCGCCGAAAAGAAGTGTAACGTACATATATGTATATACATCTTTCCAAAGCACAGCACCATCCCCTGACCAAAGCATCAAATCAAACCAAACCAAACAAAAAATCCTTATTAGATAATATCTCCATCTGGAACTTGGGCAGCAGCCTTGATTGAATTGCTCTTGTCCTCTGCCGAGGAATCTCTTGGTGCAGTAAGGTTGCCCAAGTATGAAAATTTGCTGGCGGGGTTGCTAAAGGAGGAACTGGATGCGTTACCGCCGCTGCTTCCATAGGATGGTCTGCTTCCATATCCTCCTGAATTACTTCCATAGCCGCCTGAATTGCTTCCATACGAAGTATTTCCAGTGGGGTACGCGGGGACGGGGTCTGGACCTCCGCCGTATCCGCCGCCAACCTGACCAAGGCCACCCAAGAAACTGCTGGCAGTTCCTTGAGCAAACGAAGAGGGCTTGATTGGGTTTCCAACACCACGTGGCAAGTGGTTTTCATACCAGTGGTTGGCCACTTGTTCTCTGGTACAGACCCAGACATCTCTTCCATAAGACTTGGCAAAGTCAACAAACTTCTCCAAGGCGGCAATTCGTCCCGGTCGCGACAAACGACAGTGCAGACCGACCGTCATCATTTTAGGTTGGCCAGCTCGGCCTTCTTCCACTAGGAACCGCAAAGTCTCCTTCAAGTGATTGGCAAAGTCCTCATCGGCAGACCATCCACCATTGGTAAATTTCATGTCATTTTCCGTCAAGGTGTATGGAATGATCAAATGGGGGCGGCCTTCCGCATAGTCCATGGTCCAGTAGGGCAAATCGTCAGCATAGGAATCGGAATCGTACAAAAATCCTCCTTCTTCAATGACCAAACGACGGGTATTTTCGCTGGGCTTGCCCTGGTAGAATCCAAAAGGACGCTTGCCGAGCAAGTTTTGGTGAATTTCAATGGTTTTGGCCAGGTATTCTCGTTCGGTTTTTTCATCAATCTTCGAATGGTCGATCCAACGGTATCCGTGAGAAGAAACTTCCCAATCAGCTTCCTTCATGGCACCACAGGCTTCAATGTTGCGCTCAAGAGCCATACCGACGGCAAAGACAGTGACAGGGAGTTTCTTGGCCGTAAAGAGGCGGTGCAGCCTCCAGAATCCTACCCGGGAACCATAATCGTACATGCTTTCCATGTTCAGGTTTCTGCCGCCAACTGTAGACAATAAGAAATAGATAGTGAAAGTTGCAAAAGGGAAATTGTGAGTCAGTCATACTGATGCATGATGCTAAAGAAATCCAATACACGCACGTATTACATATGATAATACTGTATAGGATTAACAAGTATACTGTCATTGTTCAAGTCGTACCTTCGGGAGTAGCTCCAGGAATGTCGGACAGCAAGTGTTCACTGGCATCATCTCCGTGCAAGATGCATCTTTCTCCTCCCTCTTCGTAGTTAATGACAAAGTTGAGAGCAACCTTGGCCTTGTTAGGCCAATGAGGCACGACCGGTCTCTTTCCATATCCGACAACGTCACGAAACCCATACTTGGATTTGCCGTCATTTTCATGGCCGACCTTGGCGAAGGAAGAAGGAGCGGGAGTTGCTTCAGTGGTTGCGGGGGCGGGGCTAGCCATACTCAATAAATCGCCGCTTTCTTCCATCATGCTGTAGTGGGTGGTGCTGGGATAAGACTTGGGGTGCTCCCTGCTACAAAGGTTTCAAATCCAGCGGGAATCTAGCCGTTTTTTTTTGGAATACCAACAAATGCCAATCGACTTTGGTGATTCCGGTCATTACCCCTTGGCTATATAGTCCTCCAAATTCAACGATTAATCATCGTACCATAAAAGATATCCCTCCTATTGTGAGGAGCAGATGACGTGTAGGATGGGAACACCCGGATTTTATAATAGTCGAATGGATCAATCAATTCACGTTAGAAGTGAAAGGTTTACGTTTACGTTTTTGATTTCTTTACTGCGATTTCATGGATTGCACTTAGATCAATTGTTGCAATGCAAGAACACAAAGAACATTTTCTTTCAAATCGACTGTTGGTAGCACACACACACATCAAATGTACCATGGCAAATCTTGCTGTAGCAATGGCAAATTTTGAGATCGAACGGATCGCACGTATACCGTCTGGCTGTCTACCAATGCTATTAATTCAACCATTTGATGATGATTCCTTCGAATGACTGAGTCAGTCCGCCCGTCGGTCGTTAAGACCTCTGGCAAAATACAGAAGTATTGCTTTCATTATCACTCCAACGGACGTCAACCAAAAAAGCATTTGAGATGATCCCTCGATCTCTCGTTCGAGCCATATGGCTCCCAATTCTGCTTATTCAGTCTTCGTTGCTACCATTTACAGAAGCGGAGGAAGCCATTATTACACTCTTGGAAAATCCAGCTTGGTCGTACCGCGCAGAACTGGCTGATTTTGGGTACATCCTCGATCAACGTCTCCGCTACAATGCCAATTTCATGACACCTCCAATGGATGAGACCCAATTATGTTCCTTTCCGAATTTTGCACTGTCGGATCTAGATAGAGCATCCCGGTTAAGCAAGCCGGTTGCTCTCTTGGTCAGTTTGGGAGGATGTGAAACAGGTCAAAAGGTGGAGGTTGCTTTGGAAATACACAAGAAAATCACCAACTTTCTGCGGTTCATTGTGTTTTATAATAACGATCCCAACAATCCGGATGAAATATTCAAAGTGAATCCTCCCATCAATACTACAACGTACAAGGACGACTTGGACGAAATGTCCTTTTCGGCAGTTTCCACAGGGACGAGTTCTGCCATTTTGGCGCACATGCAACAGTTTTCAGCACTCTCTGGAAAGACATCCAACTTTCTAGGACCTTCAAGTGATGGATGGATGTTGGAAATGATTATTGAGACGGCCGCCAATCCCTTTGACAAGACACGCACCACAACGGATCGGATTGGTTCTTCCAACTTTTATTGGTTCCGAATTGTCCTCTTTGCACTCTTGGTGCTGTCGCCATTTTGTCGGGCCATATTTTTGTGGTGGACAGGAGGTGGTCGGATTCGGCTGAGGAGGAATGAAAATAGACGGATTGTTGGCTTCTTGTATACACCGCCCATGGCATATTGGTTCGTCTCGCATGGGACACAAGAGGCAGAGCCAGTTGCGGATATCATGACGAGGGAACAAGTCATGGCCTTGCCAGAAATTGTTTTCAAGCCACCTCCTCCTTCGGAAGACACTGCTAATGATACCGGTGCGACGGATGTTTCGACGGATGATTCAGACGACAATGATGCATTGGACAAACGAGAGGAGTGTGCGGACGATGGTCGTTTGATCAAGATTGTCGATCGTACTTCTGTAACCTTGCATAGTTCGCAACCTGTCGAACTTTCGTCTGAAGATGGAAGCCCCAGGACCACATGTACTTCATGCTCTATTTGCATTGACGACTTTGAGGCGGGTGAAAAGATCCGATTGCTTCCTTGTGGGCATGCCTTTCATACTGAGTGCATTTTGCCATGGCTCACTCGCCGACAGGGATGCTGTCCAATGTGCAAAAAGAGTGTAATGGGTGAAGATGAGGACGAGGAAAGTAATAATACAGCTGCAGAGTCAGCGCCATTTTCTAGGTGTTTGGAGAACTCCAGTGGAGTGGACACGATTGAGGAGTCTGCTACTCGTTCGGTGGATCGTAGTGTTGCAGCAGGCGATGCCGAGAGATCCAGGGGAAACAATGGAATTGGCGGAATATACTCTATAAGTGTGGAGGATCCAGAAGCGGGGACTGATCAAGTAGTCAATGCCGTTGTCAATGGATTTGATAGCCCTAGCTATGATACCCTGTCCAATGGAATTGACATTGAAATCGGTGAGGGTAAAATGCTCCTTCCTGATAATGATGATGCTGCTGCATCGGTTGAAAATTCGAGCAATGTAGAATCTGGTCTGCCTGAAATGAAGACGTCAGAAGCTGATGCTGGTTCGAGCAATTTAGAATCGAATCTTCCTGAAATGGAGGAGTCAGGAGCTGGCGCTAATTCGAGCAGCGTAGAATCGAATCTGCCCGAATCGACAGAGTCAGAAGCTGATGCCGATCGAGTGGAATCATCGCCCAGTGATGACGTGGAAAGACGAAATGGAAATACGTTGCCAGAGGAAGACATATCACTTCCTCTCAAGAGCGAAGTCGAGGATGCAAAAGCTGGTGATAAAGATCAGAATGATTCGTTGTCGGCGACTGAAAAAGAGATGGGGGCATCGTTCGACGAAAGGGAGGAATCAGTGGGGGAGACTATCACTGGTGCCAACCAATGCATTGAGTCCAGCCCAACAGATGGAGAAGATAACCCTGCTTCCGTCAAATTATCCAATGGTATCAAATCCACAACTGCATCATCGGGAGATCCGGCGCAGGTTGACAGCGCAACAGAGTTAGAATTCCAGCAATCATCAGCATCAAATTTGCCAAAACAAGAGACAGCTGGAGAATCATCATCATCGTCACATTCTGCTGCGCCCAGTATCTCTGAGGCACCTATTGCGAACGATGACCAAGAAGTTGTATACCAGGCCGAGCCACAAATTGCGGACACAAGTTCCCAACAGAGTCCAGTGGTAGAGAATGACAAGACAGCCTTCATCACTCGACCAGATTCCGATATTCAAGATCCTAATGCGACTACTTCTGATTCAATGCTCGTGGAGGATATCCCAGTACAAGGAAGCGAGTATAATGAGCTATTGAAACAACCAGAAGTGCAAGAAACTGGAGATGATGCTTCGAAAGAAGACTTGATGTGACCATGGAAGCCTTCAAGTGACGGATTTGGGGTGCCGATGCCACAACGAAAGGTCGTATGATGTGGTCGAGGCTATAAATGGCCAGGTCGAATTCTAGCAAGGACGTAATTTAAAAGTCCTCTGCGTGTTTGACATGCTACAAATTAAGATTTCGCGTCCCTCCATCCTCCAGCTAAGGGCATTATCAACAAGGAAGTAATCTCCACATTTTTGGCATTCTGTGGAAGGAAGAGGCATGATCGAATACCAGGTACCTGATACTAATGTTACAGACAGTACAAAAACGACACAACAAGACAGTGTGGGCACGCACCCACAGTTTACCAAGATGAAAGGCGAATAATGTACCGGTACTCGTACAGCAACATTGTGATAAAGAACAGATTAATTTGGTCGCGTCCATCGTTCGCGGGATTCTCATTGACGTAGAATTGTACAGCGTCTCCAATACCACCGCATCATCATCAGATTCAAGACACGATACATTTGAAACAATGAAGATCCAAAGCCACATCCGACGACAACGCCCGTCATTGGAGTCTTGCTTCCAACAATCCACAGAAGTACTCCAGTAACAAACGAGAATAACAACACTTTGATAGTGACCAATAGCCCTAAAATGCTTGCTTCAGTTTGCCTACAGCTGGTTCTTCTTCAGCTGATGCTTCTACAGGTCGTTGCAAGCTCGTCAGACTCAGCGATGATTACACTTCTTGACAATACGATGCAAACCTATCCAGCGGAAACGACAAGTTTCGGTTATGTCCTAAGTGATCGGTATGTGTATCAAGCCAGATTGATGAATCCTCCGGAAAATGATGCCCAGCTGTGCACATTTCCATCACATCTTTTGAATCAGACGGATGACGCTTCACGTTCTGGCAAGCGAATAGCGTTACTTGTCAGCTTGGGAGGATGTGACACGGCCACAAAAGTAGAAGTCGCACTTGAACTGCATAAACGAATATCCAACTTATTTGGATTCGTTGTCTTTTACAACAATGATCCAAACAACCTATATGGAATTGTAAACGTCACAGGACCATCCAATACGACGTTCCGAGAGGCATTGAATGAAATGTCTTTCTCTGTTGTATCCACAGCAACAGGCCAGGAAATGATGGGACGCATCCGGCAACATGAAGCGATATCTGGGAGTGCATCTGACTATCTTGGTCCGGAAAGCGATGGGTGGCAACTTCAGATGTTCCTTGAGACCACTGATGACACAGATGATATCCATTTCGCCGGAACAAGGTCAAATCGGAATAATTACGGAAACTTCTTTTGGTACCGGGTGGCGCTGTTCTGCATTTTGTTAGTTTTACCAGTCATCAGAGCCGTATATCTCTGGTGGACTGGGGGAGGCAGAATCAGACTGCAACGAAATGACCGAGGGAGCATCATTGGCTTGTTGTATACGCCTCCCATGTCCCACTGGTATTCATTTCGTTATGGAGCTCCAGAGGCAGAACCTGCAGCTGATAGGATGACCTGTTCGCAGGTTATGGTGTTGCCTGAAATCACTTACAAACCACCTCCTGCTGAAGGTAACGACAGCGACAATACAGATGCAACAAATGATTCCAGTCAAGGCAATTCTTCTAAGAATCCTGATGATGAGCTATCGTTTTCTACAAAAGATAAAAGCGACCATCGGATGTTCAAGATTGTCGATCGAGCATCCCTATCTTTCAATACCGCACACCCGATTGAACGCACGAATTCTGGCGAAGAACTCACTACCACCTGCACCACTTGCTCCATTTGTATTGAAGATCTTGAGCCAGGGGAACGTCTTCGATTGCTACCATGTGGGCACGCCTTTCATACAGACTGCATAATGCCGTGGCTGACGCGTCGGCAGGGCTGCTGTCCCTTATGCAAGGCTAGTGTTTTGGGTGGAGAGGACGAAGAGAGTACTGCAGATGACGAAGAGCCCTACCAGACAGCAATGGATACGACGCAAGTTTCCAGTGTTTTGGATGTCAGTGGCGTCGAGGAGGAGGACGATGGCCAGGAAGAGGAAGAGCCCATTGATATCGAGGCACCCGACGAAAATGTTAACAACAGTGAGACACCAAATGAAGATGCTGAGGGGAGAAGAATGCCAGTATCATTGGTGGAGGGATCCGATGACAAGGGGGGTGGAAGATGAACGGTGATGGATGGGCAGACTACCTGATGGAAGCGTATGAGTGGCTTGCAGAGTGAATGGAGCTCTAAGTTAAATTGCTCTCGAGATGAGGTTCATATTGTAACAATCGCCCGAAATGACTTCACAAGGAGTGAATTCAAAGTCAATAATGCGTGGAATGCCACACCGTGTTATGTTCCAAAAAGTTCTGTTGGAGGTCAACGAATGACCATGATCTGAATCATAGCTATTGCACCGCCCCACAGCCGAGGTACCTGCAATTTCGATAGAACTAACAAAGGAAAACAGTCTCTAGATCAATACATTGCCAATGCGTCCACTCTTCGTCTACTACAGCGGCAATGGGATGGTCCAGTAGATCATACTGTAACTTCTACGAAAATTATCCTTCTGTGCTGTTTTCCTATTTGAAAAAGAAATCGGAAAGCAAAACACATGGAAGGTCTCATGGAATCATCAGAGGAAGAAACCGAGGAGAAAATCAAGAAAGGGAGATTAGATGGTCTCAGTCAGCATACACATATACAGTGACGGCAGTCACTGATTTGATACACTCAGATTATATAGGCTGTGCGGCCTATAGGGTTTGACTTCGGGAAAGTTGGGGATGATACTCGGACCCAATTTCAAAGGAATGATCACACGGAAGTGGATGGCATGACCTTTAGCAGCAACCTGCGCTGCCGCAACTATTCCTACGACCATTTTGTGCAAACATACGACAGCACGGTCGACTCTTTCCAATATTTCAATTCGTTCCTGAACGGTACTGTCTTGACGGGTGATCTCCTCACCCATTGATATGACCCGCGAAGCCCTCAGAGTCCGGTTCGAAGTAAGATAGGCGTTGCTTTCTTTCTTTGTCATGGACCAATCTAACAGATGTGCCACCGAGGATAGAAACATTACATCGCTCTTCGTATTCTGAGAAAAAAGTGATGGCTTCGCCAAGGTTGAAATTTCTGCTTGCGTACAGCTTCCCTTCCTTCACTTCGACACCACGTTCGTAGTCTTGGCTCCCATATTTGACCCTACGAAACAAAGGCTTCCCGATAACTCCGTATGCAGGTATTCAAGGTGGTGACTATGGGAGTCGACCAAAGCTTCCCAATAGAACAAATGATATTCTCCTCCTTTTTCGTTTTTGAACTTTTCCAGAAATGGCACTTGCTCATGTATCTTTCTAACCTTTTCTTCTAAACCATCGCAATGTATATGATGCAGCCAATACCTGCTACACCAATATGCAGGATCCGAAACCTCCAACGTTTTGTCTCTATCCTCGCTCATCACGATATCACTCATCGCAGAATCGCTCTACTTTTATCATGTACCTTTTTGCGGTGACGAAAATAACCGTCAATTATTTCTTGTGTGCATGCATTTTAGAATCTACATTACTGTAAATAGCTTTATTTCAATCCAAGTACCTGGTAGTCCTACTCGTAGAACGATGCGTGTTTCCCAATCAATGACAATGCCGATACCAATAAGGGACATCGCCGACATACTTTGTCTTAAGACTTTTTAGCAGGCTACAAAATGCATGAAACTTGTGGCGAGGTGAAGAATTTCAATTCGAACAAGAAGAAACAAGTCATTCAATTTCTTGTCTCGTTCTACGAAAAGCATTCCAAAATCATGAGGGAATGCTGGGCGCCGCCGGTACCTTCCAGAACATGACAGTTTTTGGATTTGGCTCCCCCCCTTTTGAGTGCCTGTCTCAGAACGTCAAGCTTCTTGGGTCTTTTGATATCCTCCGCACTAGCCAAATGTCCAGTAGCACAAGTTTCTCCGAATCCCCAAGTGTAGACGTCATTCTCTTCCGTAATGGCCATGCTGATCGAAGACCCTGCGGCGATGTCCCTGATTCTAGTACTCCCTAGGCTTTCGGGGAAAGCAATTTGTTGTGGAGACATTTCAATATCGCCGCCTTTGATATCGTCTGTATGGCCAAGCTGACCATAATCAGATCTACCCCAGGCGAAAACAGCGTTTCCAGCCATGTCCAATGCTAAACCGTGCGATGTCCCAGCAGATACCTTCTTGATCAATTTTCGTTCAAAAAACTTGATCTACGTTTGTGTGGGTGCCATTAGAATGAGAAATTAGATTCCAAAAGACAACTGTACAGTACTCCACACAGTAGCCGCAGTCAATTGCTTACCGGAGTGAGCTCATGTCGCTCGTGTTTGTCCCCATGACCCAGCTGACCAAAGCCATTGTGCCCAGCAGAGTACACGTTTGTGTCATATCCTTCATCTCGAGCAACAACCAAAATGAAAAGTTCACCGCATGCCAGAGACAAGACAGATCGCTTGGGATAAGGATTCGCCCAGATTACCGGTGCGGGCTTGAGAAATTTTTCTTTGATAAGGTCTTCATGATAGCGGTACGCCGTGGCCCAGACAGGATTTCCCTTTTCATCAAATTTTAAGTTTCCATCGCCATCTTTCTCTTGCTCGTCAGTCTCGTATTCCTCGCCAATCCACATCTTCCCAAGCTCATAGACGCCGGGAATAGAATTTCCCTTTTCATCCTTTTTGAGATCTGCGCCCATAGTTTTGCTTCTCGCAAGTTGGCCAAAGTGACTAATTACAAAAAGAAGACAAGACAAAAAGGTTAGATGCGTCTGTAAGAGTTGCGAACGAAAAATGAAATATCACTTACCCCATTCCCCACGTGTACAAGTTTCCATCTTCAAGAAGTGCCGCATTGAATGCTTCGCCAGCCTTGATTTCTCGAACAGGTCCTGGAAGGTCTACCAAAGTCGGATAGACGTTGCTTCCCTTTGGGCTCTCATTTGTTCCAATGGGAACATCGTGAAATTTACCAGAGTCTACATCTTTGTACATTCCAGATTGGTATACATTTCCAAGGATGCTCAAGAAAAGAGAGTGCGAATCACCAGCATCAATGCCAACGATTCGATTGCGATCATCCGGACGGAACCCTTCCTTAATTGGTTCCGCCAAATGAAGCCTGTCCTCGTGAATTTCGCCTCTGCCGAGAGCATTGTCATCATTATTGCCAAACGAGTAAACTTTGCCATCTACGGTCAATACTAACGAGTGCAAACCACCACCAGCAACATGGGCAACCTTGCTTCCGTCTAGATTTACAAAGGTCGGAGGGTATTCGCATTCCTTATCCGCATCAGCAGAAGCTGCAACTCCCAATTGGTTGCAATCGTCCGATCCCATCGAGACAACTCGACCGCAAGCGGGATTGTAGCGTTGTGTGATCCAGTCACGGTGTCGAGTATACTCCATGCACGCAAAGAAGACATCATCGTCGGTTTTGGCTCGGTTAAGGACCTTTTTCGTCTGCTCGTTCAACTGTTCCATGGCTTGCTGCCAGAGACTTTTCTTGTCATCCAAAAATTGGGAGTTCTGCAAGGATTTCTTGCTCGGACTAGAAACTTTGACTCTCTGCTTGCGAGCTTTCATTTCAGAGTCATCATCGCCTTGGGAAAATCCACCATCTGTTGCAGAGCGCTTCTTGCTGGAAGACATCATCGTCAGGTTTTTTGGTTTGAGATGGAGGTGGTCCAGTCAATTTTGGGGGCTGGTTTTCAGTTTGCATCCCACTCGTTTCACGTTCCCGACCCCTTTGCAAACATGGAAGGTATGGTATCGTTGGCCGGCGTAGAAGACAACCGTTGTGCGAGATTTTACCGCGGTTTGAAAAACAAAGAAGTCGCATTTACCACCCGAACGATTCAATTATTTACTAGAAATCGCTCGAATCACGCAATTCATTGCATATTACCGCTTATTTTGAGTCATAAATTTGTTTTTTTAAGGTACTGGCAGGCGCGTCAGTTTCTAGAAACCTGAAGAAAGCATATCAAATGCTCTCTTGGAGACTTTCAAATGTGCCAGCAGCCAGCATTGAAAATATCCACATTGTAAATTGCATTTGCGTTTACATTCCAAAGAGTCGTCGATCTACCAGTAGATGTGAGTGCCCCATTCGAATGAATGACATGATGATGGCAACCAAACGGCATGCACCTCATGGGAGGATCCAATTGCCGATCCGGCCATACCATGAGAATTATCCTCTTCTCAGTGCGCATTGGTGATACCGTAATTCACACTCATCATTGTTTTTCCTCGAATTCAAAAATTCTTGTTTCATCCGTGCCTTGACAGAACCAAAAAGATACCATGAGCGACGGGGAGGAACCTGTGCCAACTACGGAGCAACCAGAGCATGACGAAACAGTCCATGGAAACGGGGAAGAAACTGTCCTTCCAAACGAGGAGGAGACAGATGCTACATACACGAAGGACGGAACCGAACATGTGGTGGATCATCACATGCAAGAGGAGGAGGAAAAACGCGATGAAAGCCACGAACAACCAAAGATGGAATTGCGCATCGAGATTCGCCACGAGGAAGAGCCCCCCAAGCAGGACGAGATGAAAGCTAGTTCCTTTGATGACACTGTGCTCGAAGAATTGAAGGAGGATCCCATGGACGCCAAGGCTGCCGAAGACTTGGAATACATTCGTCAGACCCCTCCCACCACCAAGCTCGAAAACGTGCTTCTTAATATGTTGAAGCGAAAAGATGTTCATATTGCCCGTCTAACTGGTGAAGTGACCAAACTCAAGCAATTCATCAGCAAGAGAAAGCAGACTTACAAGAGAAAGCGAAAGGACGAAGGAGCTCCAACAAGAGCCCTGTCTGCGTACAATATCTTTGTCCAAGATCGATTCGCAACGCTTGCAAAGCAAAACGAAGCAGCTCTCAAGAGTGCCGATTCCGATGCACAACTTAAGCGAGTCCCACCCGCAAACTTGGTCGCCAAGACTGGAAATGAGTGGAAGGATTTGCCAGCCGAAGAAAAGGCAAAATACCAAGAGAGAGCCAAATCTGATCGAAAGCGATATGACGATCAAATGGCTCAGTATCAGCCACCAGACAAGCAGTCAAACCGCAAGAGAAACAAGACGGGATACAACATGTTCTTCTCAGCTCACGTTTTGCGTTTGAAACAGTCAGAATTGGGAGTCCCTTCCGAAAGAGGATCTGTGGCCCGTCTTGTTGGTACCGCTTGGAAGGTACGTATTGAACTCATTTCTTGTTGCGATCGGACGACTGAAGTCTCACCTAATCTTCATGTGATCACAGCAACTATCTGCCGAAGAGAAGCAATACTACGAACGAGAAGCTGACAAACACAATGGTATGAATCCAGTCGAAAAAGATGGCGATGAAGACGACGAGGAGGAGGTCAAGAGGCAACAAGCCGAACTTCACTACATGCATCCTTCCGAAATGCACATGCATGGAGGTATGCCACCAATGCATCCGATGCACCAGGCTGCACAACACGACCCTCGTCATTACTCGTATCCACCACACATGATGTATGGACAGCCAGCACATGCATACTACGACTATCACTCACAGTCAAGACATCATCAAGGACGTTCTCAAGGATACGGTCAAGGATATCCTCAGCAGCCTTTTGGTCATGAGCAAAGGATGTAATGCTCTCTCTCCTTTTTGATCGTTCGCATCATCATTCCTCCTCCGATTCTGATTGTATATTTTCGCAACATCATTGTACTTTCATTTACATTTTTTTAAAGTCATGCATATAAAAAGATTCAGATACCGATGTCTATTAGTCACTAAATCTGCAGCTTCGTTAGATTCCAAAGCTCCGAGTGGGATCCATGTGGTACTATAACGTGAGAAGACATATCACTTATCACAAACCATTATCTTTGGGGCCCCTTATTATAAAAGGGGCCTCAAAAGGGGGTTGAATCAGCGATTGATTCATTCATTCATTCGATCTGAATTCAGCACATTCTTCTCAAACGCAATGGGAAATTGCTGTAGCCAAGGAGGTTCGGCCACTACTCCAGGGGCATTCAAAGGAGAGGGCCGTAGATTAGGTTCGGCAAACGATGAAGCTCCCAGTCATCCGACAACTTCCGGGAAGGAAAACAAAGAAGATCTTCCCAAACCTCGTCTCGATCCCAAGTTGGCGGACGAAGATCGAGAAAAGCAGCGAGCCGATCGGTTAGCCGCCGCAGAGGCACGCCAGAAAAAAATGGGAGGATCACCGAAAAAGAAAAAGGTGAACTCCAATGCACCGCTTACTGGACCGAATAGTAAGCCGTTGATGACGTGGACGCCAGGGTAACAAAATACAATGTTATTGACATGGACAGGGTGGTGTTCATGCTAGGAAACGACCTCCAAGTGGGCAAGAGCAAATCCTTCCGTTCGTGCTGTTAGTATCAATGTTTGTAATCTAGAAGAAATATAGTTAATTCAAAAGCAACCACAAAGGTAATGACTGTAGTCTTCGTGTTCACAGAGTTTTGTAGTTTGAATGGTATCACCAATCATTCATGCATTGTACAGACAAACATGAAACAGTCTTATTGAACCCAATCCAGACCATCTGATTGTGCCTTTTGCTTTGCAATCTTCCACGCTGGTGGATTCTCGTCAATAAAGTCATGCAAATCACGGACAACCGCTTGAGCTACTTCTTCTTCGTCCATATCTTCTGTGATTTCAATTCGAAGATCTGCTTGGCTGTATTTATCCTTTCGTTCTTCCAAAAGATCATTCAACTTTTGAAGAGGATCCTCGGTTTGCAACAGCGGTCGGTCAGTTCCCTCCACGCGCTTAATAATAATCTCTGGCTCAACATCGAGCCAAATGACAATCCCTGTTTGCAGCTTGGACCAGTTAGTTTGCTTGCACACTAGGCCACCTCCCGTACTAACGACACATCGGACATAGGAATGAACTGAATCCAAGATTTGAGATTCCACTTCTCGGAATCCTTCTTCACCTTCTGCGTCGAAAATTTCTGGAATGCTCATTCCAGTGGCCTTTTCGATGATACCATCCGTGTCCAAAAAGTTGTAAGTCCCCATTCCTTTGCGGTTGCAAGATAAAATAAAATGAGACAAAGTCTTCAGGGTGGATCCACTTTTCCATTTCAGGGTTTCTTACTTCGTGCCACAACGTCTCCAACTGATGATTTTCCACTCCCCATCATACCCACAAAATAGAGGTTGGAGCCATTCAATCGTGGTCCCAGCAATCTAGCAGGATCAACCTTCATTCCTTCTTCTCCATCCATCAATCCTGGGTTCTTGAAAGGGTTATCCACGCCTTGATCAAATTGTTCGGTGGGATCTTCCCATTCAAAGCCTCCAGCCATCAACTTGGTGGGGCGGATGACGGCCATTTTCGGAGGGGCAAAGGCTTGAGAGCCATTCACCAGCATCGTTGCCAGGATAACTGCTAGATTTGAGAATGCCATGCTTTTTGTGTCTTCTAAAAAATAATAATAAAATGATAGAAATAGTGGACCGTATCACCGAATCTCGTCAAGTTCTATGGTTGTTTGTTTTTTGTTGGTTTGTCTCATCTCTTCCGCCATCAATTGTTCCACACGTCTGATTTTCCGTAGGACGGCAAGACGGAGAAGTTGGCAAAAATGGTGCCGTACGATGACGATGTTGAGAGTCTATCGTCCAAACCAGCTCTTAGTTTCGAAAGGACGATCTATCAACGTTTTATACTAATAGCATTTGTTCAATTTTTTTTCTGTGACACAATACATTCATTTTCATTTATTTCATGGTTTGTAATCGGCCGGCATTTCCCCACAGTCTGCAATGACAACATCAACCTCTGGTTTGTCTTGTCCTCCAACGCTGGTATTCTCAACCTTGCGCACCACATCCATGCCTTCTACCACATGACCAAATACCACATGTTTATTATCCAAATGAGGAGTATCCTTGCAAGTAACAAAGAATTGACTTCCATTAGTTCCAGGCCCAGCGTTTGCCATGGACAATTGTCCTGCCTTGGTGTGCTTGATGACAAAGTTCTCATCGGCAAACTTTTCTCCGTAAATACTTTCTCCACCAGTTCCATTTCCATTGGTAAAGTCTCCACCTTGAATCATAAAGTCCTTAATGACACGGTGGAATGTGGAACCCTTGAAGTGAAGAGGCTTGCCACTGCTGCCGTTGCCTTTTTCTCCCGTACACAAACATCGAAAGTTCTCGGCCGTTTTGGGGGTAATATCTTTGTAAAGTTGCATGACAACCTTACCAAGATCTTCGTCTCCTTGCTTGATTTGGAAAAAGACGTGTGGATTGTCTCCCTTGGCATTTGGTACAAGTGGACCCTTCTTGTCATTGTAGATATCCACCTTGCCCAAGAATCCACCAAAGGTATCCTTTTCCTTCTTTTTGGCGGCAGCCACCTCGTCCTTTAGTTGCTTGAGCGCCTTGCGGACATCCTTGTTACTATTATCAAGATTATAGGCAGCCATGAGATCGACCTTGGCTTCCTTGTATTGTCCCAATCGAATCCGGGCCAACCCACGACGGTAGAGCGCCTTGATGTTGGTGTTTGCCTCCGACTCCATCTCCAAGACCTTGTTGCAGGCATGAATGGCATCCGCCCAGCTCTTCATGTTGATGTAACACATGGCAGCATTACCCCAGCAACTGATGTATAGTGGGCGTTCGGCTTCTGGGATATCATCTCCAGAGATACCTTCGTCGACCGAAAACGCGGCGGCATCTTCGTACTTGGCAGTAGCTTCGGCGTAGTTCTTCTTTTTGAAGAGTTCGGTTCCTTCCGCCTTGATCTTGGTGGCATATTCCAATCGTTCCTCGGTAGACATTTGCCAGCGTTCCTTGGGCTTTTCCTTGAAGCCAAGTAGCTCGACGTCAAACAACAATTCGGCCTTGGCGGGGATCTTGGGAGGCGATCCAGAGTCGCCATAGGCATAATCCGAGCGACACTTTAGGATTGCGTGTTCGCCAATCTTCATGGAAGCAAATCCTTCGTCCCAAGCCTTGATCACCTGCCCTTGTCCAATGGTGAAGTTGAATGGCTTGCCACGGTCACGACTGGAATCAAATTTGGAGCCATCCGAGGACAAAGTACCTGAAATGAAGGACGAAGCGAGAATTGTGAGTGAGTCTTTCTGTTTACACCACATTTTCACATATGTCCATATCTCACGGATTTCCAGGCAATGCTTCGTCATCATCCACAAGCAACAATATACAATACTTACCCGTGTAGTGGGCCTCCACTTCGTTTCCACTGGGTGGAGGTCCAGAAGCTCCCTCAGGTGCTTCCTTGAGGATCTTCTTTAGGACTCCTCCGTCTTGGGCGACGGAAACGTCAATCCAGACTTCTTCTTCTTCGGCCATTTTAATCTGAGTAGAAACTTGTTTTGTGAGACAAGGCTGACAAGTGTCGCGTCTCGTCCTTGGTGGTTGTTGTCGGCTTGCAATATCCTTCGATCGAACTCTTCTGACAGTCGACCGTTTGAACGAGTCGAAGGAGTCGCAGTTCCAACCATCTCAGACGATACGACCAACCTCCATCAAATATAAAAAAAAATCCTTCGCAAGCACAGTGTCGAAATTTATTCTCCACACTCGTATCCTGGTGTCATTCGTTCTTCTACAGTATTGTGACCAGCGTTACTATCAAAGTGGTGGATACCAAACTACTGCGATATCGAATATTGACTATTGACTATTGAATCTACTAAAATTAGGAACTAAGGTGCTACCTGAAATTGCCGCTGCTTGTATCTGACAGAATACAATCAATCCACAAACAACAATAAATACAGTATACAGTATCACATGACCCTCGTCCGTTCCACGACGAGGCTTTCGTGTTGCTGCCTCATTATTATCATGATCTGCCGTGTTATTGGATCCACAAAAGCCTTTCGACCATCCTCGTTGATGATAAGTCAGAATAGATTACCTTTGAAGAGGACTTTTGTTGGGCTTTCCAATCATCGGATACGAACTCACACAAATGCTTTGGGGTGGCAGAATGCGCCAATTGCGGAACCATCAGCAGCATCATTCATATCCTCGACAACGACGACGACAAGACTCTTTTCCAGCGATCCAACGACGCAAACCGTAAATCTTCAGTCAACACAACAACAACAACAACAACAACAACAACAACAACATTCCACAAGTTCCATCATCATGGACGGCCTCAATCCGTCCCAAATCGAAGCCGTCACCCAACCCCAAATCGGCGTCACGCGGGTATTGGCCGGTCCTGGGTCGGGCAAAACAAAAGTGTTGACGTGTCGGATTGCGTATTTGCTGGAAGAAGATCGGTTCCAAAAAGTGCTGGCCGTGACCTTTACCAAAAAGGCGTCGGGGGAAATGCGACAACGGTTGGAAAAACTCTTGGAATTACGACAAGGTGTCGAAGATGAAATGCAAAGAGGAATGCCAGCAGGGCCAGAAAGCATCATGGAAGAACTATCTGAAGGGACCGAAGCAAATGGTGGACAACCACGAGGATTGGAACGAGTAACCCTGGGTACCTTTCATTCGGTCTGTGCCAAGATTTTGCGATTCAATGGTCACCTTTTGGCGTCCTTGCCATTGATTCGCAATGACATGCCCAATCCAGAACTTCCCATCAATTTGGACAGTAGTTTTGTCATTATGGATCAGAGTGATCAATTGCGTATCCTAAAGGAGTGTTTGGACGAGGCAGAAATCGATCTCAAAAAGGCTGGCATGAAACCATTGGTCATTCTAAATGCGATTGGGTCCATCAAGGAGAGTCTGTCGCAAGGGATCGATCCCTTTAATTCCAATGACAAACGCAAACCTGTATCCAAGGCGATTCGGTTGGCCAAGGGTGTATATCCAATCTATCGCGAAAAACTCTTTTCCAACAATGCCGTGGACTTTGACGATTTGATTTTTCTGACGCGGGAATTGCTGGATGAACACAAGGATGTTCGAGAACGCTTGCACAAGCGTTGGGGACACATTTTGGTGGACGAATTTCAAGATACCTCGCGGAGTCAAATGGATCTGGTCAAACTGTTGACATCGTCGAGTTTGTTTGTGGTGGGAGATTCCGATCAATCCATCTACTCTTGGAGAGGAGCACATGCAGGGAGTATGTCAGATTTCGCAGAAGAATTTCAAACTCATGGTGGCAAGGGGGTAGTGAGTGTCTACTTGAAGGAGAATTATCGATCCACCTCCAATATTGTACGGGCGGCAGAAAAAGTTATTTCCATGGAGTTCAAGGGTTCGGCCGAATCTCGACGTTCCATGAAACCCAAGCGAGGGTCGGGGCCATCACCTCGAGTTGTTGCTTGCAAAGATGAAAGAGCAGAAGCAAGCTTTGTTATCGACAACATTTCGGAAATGCTAATCAACGGAGATCTGCAACCACAAGAGACCGCAGCCATCATTTATCGAACCAATGCTCAGTCGCGGTACTTGGAAGAAGCCTGTGTCCAAAAGAATCTCCCATATGTCATTCGGGGTGGCGGTGCATCCTTTTACAAACGAGCAGAGGTGAAAGATTGTCTCTGTTTCTTGAGGTGGCTACACAATGGAAATGATGAAGTATCGATGATCCGCGCCATGAAGACACCCAGCCGGGGGATTGGAGACGTGGCAATTCGAGAATTTCGGACGTATATGGAGGAGGTTAACTTATATTACCAGCAACACCACCCAACGAAAAAACGACCGACGCCGTTGGAACTTTTGGTTGCCATGACGGATGCTGAGAGTAGTGATTCCGAACCAATTCTGGCACCGGGTGCTCCGGAAGCCTCCGCCTCAATACCAAAGAGAGCGCTCAACAAATTCTTGCCATTTTCAAAACAAATGAGAAAAATCCGAGAGAAAGCATCGACGGTTACTATTGACGCTCTTTTATTCTTTATCATCGAAGAGCTTGACTTGATCAATCACTTTGACACAATTTCAAAGTCCAAGACAGAATTCGAAGATCGTCGAGCCAATGTACAGGAGCTCCGGCAAGCTGCCAAACGGTATTCCAAGAACGGTCACGCTTTCAAAATGGCCAGTACCGGAGAAGATGACTTTTCGGAAACGATTCTCAGCACATTTCTCGACGACGTTGCACTGGTTGCAGACATTACTGATGCGGAAGAAGCTTCCACCAATGCGGAAAAGAGATTTGTTGTGAACCTAATGACAATCCATGGTTCCAAGGGTATGGAATTTGATGCTGTCTTTGTGGTCGGAAATGAAGAAGGCACTCTGCCCAGTGGTTTGTCGATTCAAGAAGGAGAAGGTTCAGTGGCCTTGGAAGAGGAGAGACGACTGTGCTATGTTGCCATGACGCGAGCAAAGACTCGATTGCTCATGACATGGAGAAAGGAAGTTACCAACTTTTCTAATTGGTCTGATGATGGTCCCAAGACTGTCAAGAAAGATCGCAGCCGATTTCTCAATGCCTTGGTGGGCAGGAAAGGGGCGCCAAAGTCAGGCTCAACAAAGAGCAGCTCTTTGGAAAGCACAGACAACATGCTTCACCAGCAACGACGAGGTACGGCACCGTCACCACAATTTCAAAAACGCCAAATTTCCTCCCAACCAAAGCGCTCGGTGACACCACCAACGCGAACAGCGGCCCACCGCCCACGACCCGTAACCGCCTCCTCCCGGCGATCCTATCTCAACCCTGGAAGTATTGGAAGGAATGAAACTCCAAAAAGAGAGCCTGGAGTACGGTACGAGACTAGACGACCAGTGACTGGTGGTTCAACTACTAGTGCAAGGCAGCAACCGCCGCCACAAGCAAGGGTCCAGCGACCAACACCACCAAGCAGACCTGCACCTGAGAGACCAACTCCAGTCACTCCACCTAGGCTCCGCAAACGGGCGCCGGATCTAGAAGAAGCTCGACGGAAGCACCAGCAGGCTGCTGCGAAAATCACACCACCATCTTCACCATCGAAACAATCGGCTCCACCACCAGCAAAGACGAAAGAACAAATGGATTCCACTTGGTTCTTTCCCGTTGGTTCGGATGTTGTGCACGATGGTTTTGGTAAGGGAACCGTCCTGCCTCCACCACCTCCGAATGATACCACCGACTTGCCAGTCCTGATACGGTTCCAAAATGGCAAGGAAATGGAGTTTTGTGCCAAGGGGAGAGAAATTATTCCAGATCTAGGATTATCATAAACATCGTTTTTAGTACTCCTAGTCCTATTAGGACAATTTTGCTACTTTAAAAAAATTGACATCACCTTGATTGATATTTTGACTCCATTGGGAGGGGAGAACATGATGAGGCAAAAACACGTTTTCATATCTGGCTGTGTGGAGTTGCTGACAACTTGCATTGGCTAAGTCGAACCAAATGAATCGCGCTTGTGATGGAACCCAGTCAAATAACTTTCCCAAGAATTGAATCAAAAGAATTGGCGCTTCAACGCAATAGTCTACCTCTCATTTGTCATTTTTCACAGAATTCAAAATCTTCTCAATCTCTCGTCGAAAGTCCCGCAACCCTTTGCACTCGATCACGTTCTCAAACTTCTTTGTCTCGGGCCGTTTTTTTTCACTCTTGAAATCCTTTCCTCCCGTCATGTCTACTACCTTGTTTTTAGGATCCCTTTTGGATGGCTGTCGCATCACATGTTTTGCTTGGTACCCCACTCCCACCTCCGTGTTGTAAAATTGTTGCTTATCTGTGGCAGCTACATTCTTGCTCTTTTTGTTTCGACTTGAATCTTGTTGATGCTCCATCTCCATGCTACTTCCTTGCCAACCCCGTTTGCTACCACGATGGCGGCCGCCCATTCGAAACTTTTCTTCGTCATCGCTCATTGCTTATTTATTGTATTTTGAGTGTATGCTATTTTTGTTCAGTTTTGGTTGCTTGTGTTGTGTGTCCGAGGTTTGGTGATTGATATTAGTATTTCTATTTCTATTTGTGGTCTTGCGGTTGTGTTTCAGGCGGGTGGAAAGGACGCGGTGATGGGAGATGGGAATCAATCAATCAATCATCTTCACAAAACCAGCGGGAAATATTTGACTGACTCGAAGGACGAATGACGTCGGTAATTGCGTCTACGTGGATTTTTACGCGTGGAATTGACCTGTCACCAGAAGGTTTTACTTAGGAATTGCGACCAATCAGACATCACCCAGCTGAAAGTCGTCGACTCTGCATCCACCAAATCTTTTCATCATCATTTTCGAAAACCTTCCTATCATCACTTCAACGAACGAAACAACCCCCAAGAAATTCCATACTTCTACACAGAACAACCGTCACCCTATCCTTATACGCTTTTCACACACTGAAGAAAGAGTGAATCAATCAGGTTTTGCTCATAAAAAATACAAGATTCTCATTCTGAAAGAAAAATGATGATCATTCGTTCCCAGCAACCACCCACGAATCTCGACTCGAATCACATCACAATGTCGACGAAATCCTACTCGACTATACTCTATGTTGTCTTGGTATTCCTGTCACCATTTCAGATCAGTGGATTTGTGCCGTTGGGACAACTGAAACCTTCGTTTGTCTATTCTCATGGCAACGGACATTCCGTCACCACCTCTCCCTCGGAGCACGACATTGAGGAAATGAACAACAATAAAAACAATGACAATAATTTGAAACCACCCTCGAAGCGACTGCGATTCTTGAACAAACTGGGATTCAAGCGAGTGTCCCATGACCAAAAGGAGATTCGAGAAGCCGCCTCCGCCAAGAAAGTACCCGAAACATTCGAAATTACAAATCTAAGAGACCTCGATTCGTACTTTGCCGACAAACAAAGACGATTCCGGAACAAGGAAGGTAAGATTGATTCGGATAGTCTAATTCGATCACTCTCGGTGTGCGGTGATACCCAAATCATTGGGTCTACAGAACACTTGGACTATGTGCATCCAGTGGCCAAACTGTTGCACGAACGAAAAGCAAATGGTTCGCAGTGCGTCGAAGGGGGAAAGCGAGACGATGGGTGCAAGATTGCCTTGGTGATTGAAGGTGGTGGTATGAGAGGGTGCATTTCCGGTGGAATGGTCTGTGCAATCAATTACCTTGGTTTGCGAGATGCGGTCGATGTGGTTTATGGATCCTCTGCCGGTTCGGTGGTCGGAGCCTACTTTATCACTGGCCAATTGCAGTGGTTAGGTCCAGAAGTCTACTACGACAAACTAACAACCGCTGGAAAGAACTTTATTGACACTAGTCGCTTGTTGCGAGTGCTTGGATTCGGCTTGGCCGATCCTCGCTTGTTCAAGGATGTTTTGGGACGTCGCAACAATGGCAAACCCGTCTTGAACTTGCCATTTCTATTGAAAGAAACCATGCAGCGAACGAAGCCACTGGATTGGGAAAAATTTGCCCAACGACAAAAGGTGCAACCACTCAAGGTTGTTGCGTCCGGATTGAAACGTCAAGAGGCAGTTGTCATGGGCATGGAAAGCGGCCATTTTACTTCCATTGAAGAGATGAGTGAATGTATGCATGCCTCTTGTCTATTACCAGGAATTGCGGGACCTGTCATGAATATCAAGTCCAATGAGAATAACGACCCCGAGAAGCCAAAGTTTGTCATTCGCAATGGACTTGACGACCCAGACTATGAACCTGTGGCCGATGCCTTGGTCCATGGACCCCTTCCTTATGAATCAGCCTTCAAGGAAGGAGCAACCCATGTCATTGTCCTTCGATCAAGAGCGGATGGTACTGATGTGACTGGGAAGGGAGGCGTCTTGGAGCGACTGATATTCCGTCGCTTTTTCTTGCGAAAGAACAAACTCCCTAACGTCTTTCAATACATGTCGCATCAACTTCACAAGAAGCTTTATGCCAAGAATATTATTGAAATGAACGAAGCAGCTCACAGTACACGAGACTACAAGGATACTTCCGAACCACACACGTTGGCACTGGCGCTACCACCAGGGTCGGAGGAAATTGCTCGACTTGAAGTTGACCGGAAGGCAATCTTTGAAGGGGTCCGAAGAGGGTTTGCCAGAGCCTATGATGCTCTTGTGGAGGATCCAAAGGAGCGTGGCCGGGGTCACATTGTAGCCAAGGAATATTTCCCGGACGAAATTTTGGATTACAGCCCTGAGGATATTGCCAGGGTTGACGATTCGGCGTTCCGAATATTTATGGAACAGGAATCAATATCACCCAAATCCTGGGCAAATAAGAAGTAAATAAGAGTAAAAAATAGAACTGATTCATGCATATTGCTACACCTGGGTTCTTTTAATTACACTGGAACTTGATTTTAAATGGCAAACTTTTAGATTGATACTAATGATCGTTTTGCACAAAAATAACCCGTGACATCGTGGCCGAGTGGTTAAGGCGATGGATTGCTAATCCATTGTTCTTTGAACGCGAAAGTTCGAATCTTTCCGATGTCGTTTTACCTTTTGCGTTGGCTTTGTGTTCCATTTTTCCATTTGTTTTCACTCACTTCGAGCGGCTGAATAAGTCAATGGTACTGATATCATACCTGATACGACACAACTTACAGTCACCATCATTACTTTAGTTCATCTGTTTCTTTCTACACCAAAGCGATGAACTTGAATAGTTGGTCGAATTGGTCACAAATACTAGTAAACACAAGGATGCGAACCGCACCCTAAGTTCGGTGGAAAGATGAAAGATCCCCCTTCAAAAAGCTTCCGACGAGTTCCCACAATCGGGCACAAAACATCAGGATGACGATACGTCCAAGCATAGTCCTGCCGCTCATACTCCTATTCTGTGCGGCTCATGCCGAGACCACGGAGGATGCCGAGATCACGGATGAACCTCATCATGGTGAAGAAGAGGGAGAGTTGCCTGAACCACCTTACGCTGTGTTATTTCCATCATTTACAGTCACCTTAGGAGTATTTGTGTTCTATATCTTGTCACGATATGCCAAGGCTTTGCCGTACACTGCCGTAATGTTTCTCTTGGGAACCATCATGGGAATCGTCGTTGAAATTGGTGACTTTAAAGATCATATAGACCAGGGCATTCGTCTTTGGATTGGCATCAACGGTGAAGTCTTGCTGCTGGTGTTCTTGCCGGGGCTCTTGTTCAAGGATGCCATGTCGCAAAATGTGCACCATTTCTTCCGTTCTATAAGTCAGCTGCTAATCTTTGCTTTCCCCCTGGTTTTGGCGGGAACCGTCTTGACGGCTCTCGTCGCATACTATATTTTCCCATACGGCTGGCCTTTCAATTTGGCCATGACATTTGGTGCGATCTTGGCTGCTACTGATCCAGTAGCAGTGGCTGCACTCTTGGAAGAGGTCGGAGCTCCTCCTCGTCTCCAAATACACATTGCAGGCGAATCTCTACTGAACGATGGAGCTGCTATTGTTTTCTACTCCATTTTTGTTCAAAAGTACTTCTTTGAAGATTTACAATATATTGGAGGTGACGAACATGCCGAGAACATTGATCTTGCCAAGGGAGTAGCCATGTTTTTCCAAAAGGCCTTGGGTGGAACTGCGGTTGGAATAATGTTTGGAATTTTGCAAATCAGCATGCTCTTGTATCTGGACCGTCGGGTCAGTCGCGAGGAGAATATTGTGCAAGTCACCTCAATCATTGGAATGGCCTACCTCAACTTTTATACGGCCGATTTTGTCTGGAAAACTAGTGGTGTTATTTCCACAGTAGTTGCTGGTTTGATGATCAAATCGCTTGGGAGAGCGACCATCAACGGTACGAAGCCATCAGTTTCTTTGTGTGGGGGATTGTGTGGGAGTTATTCGACTTTGATCCTCATCCGCAAGTTTGTTGTTTCTCGACTCATTGTTTTTGAAAATTGATCAGACTTGAAGCTACTAGAAGACTTCTTAAGCATCCTGGAGCATATTTTGAATACAATTCTTTTCACCTTGGGAGGTATCCTATGGGGAGCTGCTGTTGCAAGCGGCGAAAAGATGGGTGTTTTTCACGGAATCGACTGGGCATATCTTTTTTTGCTTTATGTAATGCTCCATATTATTCGCGGAGTCCTATTTGCATCTGTTTATCCCCTGACGTCTCGCATTGGTCTCAAATCCGATCCCAGGGAAGCCCTCTTTCAAGTTTATGGAGGACTGCGTGGAGCGCTTGGCATCGCCTTGGCAATTGCCCTGGACAACGAAGCTAGCGAATTAGCTGGGGGAAGATTTGATACCGAGGCTGAATTACACACAACTCAGGCTTTTGTCATGGTCGGAGGCATTGCCTTCATGACTTTGGTATTCAATGGTATCACGGCAGGACCACTCTTACGCAAGCTCGGACTCGCTGATTCTACAGAAGCCCGGTCGTTGATCATCAAGACACTAGAAGTGAAACTCAGATCATATGCTATTGATGATTTTGTTCGCTTACTTTCTCAACCAAGATTCTATCACACGGACTTTCTCTTTGTCAAGAAGCACGTACCATCCTTGAGCACTTTGACTAGGACCCAATTTCTGGATGCCGTGAGAAAACACAAGAAGACGCATGGTATAGACTATGCTCCTCCTTTTCTCAAACATGTTCTTCCACACTTGGAGAGTGATCCTAAACTAAGTCACTACATGGAAGTAGAAGTGACAGATGAAGAAATACTAGGCGAATTCGACAACTACGTTCGCGCATCAAGGCATCAAATGAGAAGGAGAAGGCACCGACGTCATTCGAGCAATATCCGCGCAATGATGGGACATGATGCGCTATCAACAAGGGAGCTAAGACTCTTTTTTGTCTCCATTCTGAGAGCACAGTATGAGAAGCAAGTTACGCGCGGAGAGTTGGAAAACGAACACTTCCTTGCAATAGCGCTTGACCAAAGTTTGGACTTTGCTTCCCACGACATACACAAGGGCAGACCACTGCAGGATTGGAAGCATTTGGTTGAAATTCACGATCCAATGGCAAGATGGGAGGCGAGGATTGAGAAAAGTAAAAAGTGTTTCGACAAGTCTAAATCTGGACTACAATCCAACCCAGATTTAGACGTGGCTGGCGATGAGTTGACGATTGAACGGGCTATGGCGTTCATGGCGGCGCATGAAGAATCTCGAAAGCATTTCGCATTCGAGTTTGAAGATACTGACAGCAGTATGAACGAATCCGCCAAGATTGTAATTCAAGAAAGTATGGAACAGTACGCTCTAGCACAGATGGCACTAAAAGGATACGACACTGATGTTCTTCAGAGGACGGCATCGTACAAACTCTGTAAAATTCTTTTGAATATGAAAATGCACCACGTCGAAAAAATGGTCCACATGGGCGCATTGAAGGAATCGGAAGCAGAACATATATTAGAAAAGCACATGGAGTATCTGAAACATCTTTCGCTCGCCTATAGAGACGATGACGATGACCCACCGGCAAAGCCCAAGCTATTTGAGGACATCCCAAATCCTCTACTACAAGCAAATCCCCGACTGATCTATAGGATTGAAAATCTGGTGCAAGATGTTGATGCTGGGAAAGGGCCAGCTTTAGCACCGCTGCAAGAACCGATGGGAAAAGAAGAAGCCACTGTTGATTGTTAGCGAGAAATTGGCATTCAAAATTTGTAGAAATCTCAAACCAAGAACTCTTGAACATGTAATGTAGGCCATCGACTGAGTCACTCTACCAAGAGTAACTCTACTAGATTCGACGAGGTGCAAGTGTAATTCTGTAACGATTGAACTTGACTGTTGACTTTTATTTATTTTACTTCCAATGCTATCCCCGCTACCGGTACCTACAGTACTAGCTGGGTATTATGCAGGAACATGGTTGTATCGTCTGCGTACGTGTTTGGTGTAAACTCCAAAACCAAAAAAAAGCAAAACGACATCGGAAAGATTCGAACTTTCGCGTTCAAAGAACAATGGATTAGCAATCCATCGCCTTAACCACTCGGCCACGATGTCATGGGTGTACGAAATCATCATTTTTGCTATACAAACTATCATGTATTTTTTATTTTATTGCAATATTGATTTTGCACACTCAGCCTTTTCACGTACTGCACCTGTTTGCTCTACACTATTGACACAATAACCCACCAGTGCTATGACTCTTGTCTTCCCAGTATAGGTTTTAAAAAAAGAAATCGTTATATCATCATGTCACCAAGTCACAAGCTTTGCATCCGCTCCAAAGGTTTCATTGGTTGGTCTCAAGCCACCATGACTCACTGACTCAGTGTTAGTCACGAATAACGAATGAGGTAAACTGGTTCAGGGCACATTTATCTGTTACCAGTGAACTACTACTCAACAAGGAAAGGGATATGTTTCAGTCGAGCCGCATTGCATTGGCCTTATCCCTAGTGAAACGGGCTCAGCGAAGAGTCTTGATTGGAAAATTGTGTTCGTCCTTCCTCTGTGATGAATTCTCAGCTACACAATCCCACC